ACTGAAAAAGTACAGACTTGATTCTTAAAAATCTACAACAGCGACTTCTAGATTCTACTCAACCTTTACGTAGCTTTTACAGATGCCTGTCCTATAAAACACAAACAGTTGAGTGGCGTGAGGCACTACCAGCAATGGGGCTGCCATGTGATCAGGACAGAATAGAGAATTTGAACACAGAGTGGAATATCATACGACGAACGAATGAAGATTTGACTTCAACTTCTTTTTTATCATGACTAGTGGCTCGACCCGATCTTTGTGTTCTGTTTCCTGGGATGAAAGAAGTAAGAGTTCATCTCTTGCTACTCCCAGTCACAACAGCTACAGTTGAGCGTTCTTTTTCATCATTGAATAGAATTTTGTGTTCTGAAAGAAGTCGCCTTCTGCCTGATCATGTGACTGAACTAATGAGCATATCAATTGAAGGAATGGAAGTACCGGACACACGAGAAGCCACCAAAGATGAACGCATTGCATTCAAGAAGTTCATTAACAGAGTTGTGCAAAATTATAACAAGAAACCAAGAAGGGTGTAGACGTAGTGATTCATAGAAGGATTAAGTAGCCAACTTTAATTTGTGTGATGATTTTAAAACATGAGTTAAATCTAATAAAATGGTCATGAAACATTTTTCAGTTTTTACTATGGTGCCATACAGCCCACCTTCACTCTCACAGTCTCCCCCCTTATTGGCCCTGACACTCCCTCCCCCCCCCCCCCCCCGTAAATTCAAACACTCCCCCCTAATTTCAATTCCTGGGTAAACCACTGGACGGGTTGCATATAAAGAGTTATGTATGTAGGCCAGTAAGATGTTCTTAAAATAATCTGTGGAAGCATCTGATAAACAAGTTTGTCCTAGACAGGGGAATGTTGTTTTGCCTATTTCGCCATTGTAAATTGAGCAAGGTGACACCAGAGACAGTGTAAGTTCATTTGCATCTGAGTCCACAGGAAAAGCAAACTGAGAGGAGGGCAAGGAAGACAGGATGGCGTCAGTTTCTTGGGGGACAAGTAGTTGAGAAAAACTTTATCCCTTCAGAAGAATACATCTCAAAGGTTTATTGGACTATAAAAAGAAGGGGAGGGAGCCCCTTTGCTAATCATCACTTAAATTGGACAAATGAGGCCTGTGGTCTTGGAATCCATACAAGATGAATCCTTCAACCATCTGGGCTGAAGACGCTGAGAACTGACTGTAGGTGAGAAACTGCCCGAGACCAGATTGTGAACTGTTAAGCTTTTAGACATCAGAAAGCACATTTTTCCTTTTGTTTTGTTTGTAACCATATATATCTTTTTCTCTTGCTTAGTATCACTTAAATCTCTGTTCTTTATTAATAAACGTATGCTTAATTTTACTATAAATGACCTCAGTGCTGTGTATTAAGTTAGAATGTGTCCACAGTGAGTCAACATGCTGGTGTGTGTGCACTGTTACTTTGGAGACTGCAGACTTCATAATTCCTGCGAGTGTCCAGTGAGAGGGACTGGACACTGCAGAGAGGTATGTCTGCGAAACTAGCTCTCACTGAATGTTACCTGCAAGGCTAGATTAAGATGGGCAGAGTCTTGAGGAGTTTGCTGGGAAGGCAGACAGCGGTGTGGCAGGGAGTTGACACACAGTTGAAGCTCCAGCAAAGCTCTTTCTTGCTGAGGCCAAGTGGAGTAACACATTGGTAGGGCCCTACCAAATTCACAGCCATGAACAATGCGTCACGGACCATGAAATCTGGTATACTTTTACCCTGTACTATACAGATTTCAAGGGGGAGACCAGTGTTTCTCAAACTGGGAGTCCCAACCCAAAAGGGGGCTGTGGAGGGAGGGATATTGTAAGGTATTTGTAGGGGGGTCGCGGTTTGTCACCCTTACTTCAGTGCTGCCTTTAGAACTGGGTGGCCAGAGAGTGATGGCTGTTGGCTGGGCACCCAGCTCTGAAGGCAACATCCCACCAGCAGCAGCACAGAAATAAGGGTGGCTATACCATGCTATGCCACCCTTACTTCTGTGCTGCTGCCTTCAGAGCTGGGTGGCCAGAGAGTGGCGGCTGCTGGCCAAGGCCCCAGCTCTGAAGGCAGCGCAGAAGTAAGGGTGACAATACTACAACCCCCTACAATAAACTTGTGACCCCCCCACAACCTCCTTTTGGGTCAGGACCCCAACAGTTACAACACTGTGAAATTTCAGATTGAAATATCTGAAATCATGAAATTTCTGATTTTTAAAATCCTATGACCCTGAAATTGACCAAAATGGACAGTGAATTTGGTAGAGCCCTGCACATTGGCTTATGGTTCTGGGAACACTGGAGAAGAGCATCACAATAGGTAAAGACACAAGAGTCTACACCTGAGGGGGTGCACTCAGAGGGACCAGAAAGGGGACAGAGATGCAGCTAGCCTGGCAGCCATGATAGCCTCCATAATAAAAATGCCCAAATGAAATGTTATTCAGCAGGCTTCAGCACTGAGCAGATTTTATAGCGTGAGAGCTTCACTCTCAAGCACGATGGTATTAATATTGTTGCAAACAATAAATTAATGCTAGTTTTATACAAAGATTATGCTTGCAAGCTACTGGAGTAGAAGACACACTCCCACAGCCAGGGTTAGAATCAGATACATACAGTGTGGTAAGAGTAAATTGCTTTCATTCTACACTTACGGAATTGAAGAGCTCGGTGGTCAGGCCAAGATAGTTGTGCAAAGCCAAGAATGTCACTCTTTGGAGCCTCACCATTATGATCTAGGAGCGGGAGATCAAACACAGGGAGCAGGTGAATACCAAATACACCAACATCCACTAACCCACTCTTTTTGTCCTATGACTGCAGAAGTGTTAACAGGCCACTCTACCTTGAATATTTCCTTACAATTTGTGCTAACTACTTATGCTAAACATTCTGTTCCACTTTGCATTTTGCTGTGATGCTGGGAATACCTTTCCCCACAGCTGAAGAAGAGCGCTGTGTGGCTTGAAAGCTTGGGTCTCTCACCAAGAGACACAGTAGGTGGCTGAGCCAGAGACACCACCCAAAAGAATTGACACCATAGGTGTCAACTCCGTGGGTGCTCCGGGATTGGAGCACCCACGGAAAAAAAATAGTGGGTGCTTAGCACAAACCGGAGGATCAGCTATTGCATGGGCAGACCGCATCAGCTGTTTGCTCCACTGCAGCCAATCAGCTCTCCCCATCTGGCCAATCAGGCGGCTTCATGCCAAAAAGTTATCTTCAGCTGTTTTGGCTAGAAGCCAGGTTCCCAGCGTGTGTGGTGGCAGCAGTTCCCAGCCCGGCTCTGACTGCAGCAAGCAGGTGAGTCTTTTTCCAGGGCAGAGAGAGCCGGGCTGGGGCAAGCAGGGACACAGGCAGCTTCTGGGCTGGCCTCAGGGGCTGGGGGGAGACAGCCTGGGGAGGCCGGCAGCTTCTTGGCTGGCTGCAGGGGGCTAGGGCTGGGGAGGGGGACACAGGCAGCCAGCTAAGCAGATGCAGTGTCTGGCACCCCTCTTTGGTATGAAGACCTCAAAATCCCAACTTGGGGGGAGGGGGTGTTTTTGTTTTGTTTTAATAAAATTACAATCTCAAGGGGCAAGTTGGGTCTGGTGTCCCAATTTTAGAGGCTCTTGCAAGAACTATAAAGGGCCTATACACTGTTGGCAATAAACAAGTAATGATGATATTTATAATATTGATCATGACATCTTGATGTCATAAACACCCTTCATAAGAGCATATGATCCAAAATCTACAGTTCTCTACAGCAGGTTTCAGAGTAGCAGCCGTGTTAGTCTGTATATGCAAAAAGAACAGGAGTACTTGTGGCACCTTCGAGACTAACAAATTTATTTCAAGCAACAGAGGGTCCTGTGGCACTTTTAAGACTAACAGAAGTATCACTTCTGTTAGTCTTAAAGGTGCCACAGGACCCTCTGTTGCTTTTTACAGATTCAGACTAACACGGCTACCCCTCTGATACTTAAATTTATTTGAGCATAAGCTTTCGTGGGCTACAGCCCACTTCTTCGGATGCATAGAATGGAACATATATTGAGGAGATATATATTCTCTACAGCAATCAGTTCTCACTTGGCATCTCCCCTTTGTCACTCTCCTCTTTAACTAGACTCCTCTTTCCTTCCCCACCTCTCCCTATCTCCCAACATCTTGTCTGGCATATGGATAAGGTTGCTTATTCACCAAGAGGCTGATCTAATGAAAAAAACAAACTGATTTCCAGAAGTGCTGAGCACCCAGATGCTCAGATTCTAAGTCCCCATTTTTTCAAGATCTTCAAAAAAGGACAGCGTATTGGGGGTTAGCGAGGGAATGACTTATGACCAGCCCCAAGGAAAGACACTATGTCTTGAACTAGAGACATTGGAAACTTACAGAGGGGCAATAAGCTGTCTTCATCGCCATTAGATTTCCCTCTGCCATTCTTTGCCCAGCACATATCCAGGGGAAAGTTACTCATATATCATTCTTAAGAGTCCAATAAAGGTGTCACAATAACACAAATTAATTAAGTGGTAGCATTATTCAAGAGCAAAGATTAGAACTTATTCCAAGTACCCACTGCTACAGCAGTTCAGAGTTTGCAGATGTTTGAGAAGTAAATATCTAGGGCCAAATTCTGCTCTTTGATGAGCAGAGGCAGCCCCCACGGACAGTAACAGGAGCTGCATATTTCTGAAGGCAGAATCTGGCCTCAAGGGGGAAGGAAACTTCGGTATGTTGGTCCAAGGAAGGGTATAATGTGATGAAATTAAGCCGAGACACATTTAGGAAATATTTCCCTCATCCCCGCCTAACGTAAAGATCAATCAGACTGTGCGATAATCTCCTTGGATATGTGGTGGCAGCCCCAACACTTGGGACACTTAAATATTGGACGAAACCCTGAAAATATGCTAAGGAGAACAATTCTGCACCAGCAGAAGGATGGACTAGCTGGCCGGATAGGGAAAAACCTTTTAAAGGAAAGATGGATATAAACATTTTATTAAGATGATGTTAAAAAAAAAAAAGTGAACCGAGTTTGAGCATAGAAGTTTCTGGTTATCAGGGAATAATGTACAGATTATCGAGGGTGCAAAGTTTGGTATAAGATCAGGTGGCATAAGGAATACATAATAAAAACAAACTACAGATCAGTCTTACCTGTACCATTCTGACAAGAGTTTCAGGGTACTTCTGGAAAACATCCTGAAAAACACTGGCTGGAAGTCGCAGTATAGTGGATGGTGTTCCTGCTCGGGCTGAAACGGTTTTATATGGAGCAGGGTGACCCTATTAAAAAAGCATTAGAGAAACGAGTTTACTATTTGCTCCCTCTTGTACCACTGTCCACCTGCCTCAATTCTTCCTAATGACATTACACCACTTTTTCCTTTGATGCACACCATCCTAATTCTCCGGCCACAAGAGAAAGATGTGCTCCTATGCTCCGTGAATTGTCCAGTCGGGGATATAAGAGGTCAGGGTGGTCAACAGCATTCACAGGGTCAACTCCATTTGCCTAGGAAGGGGGTAGGCGAAATGAGAAATCCCCACAGTGTAGCTCATCATCAAGTAGATGAATCTGCTGGCTTACTTATTCTGTAATGCTACAGAGAAAGCCAGGCTTCAGAATTAATGTCAAATTGATACTCCAGCTCTCCAAAGAGGTTGAGAAAAGGCCTTTTGGCAGGTCTATTAATCTATGCTGCCCTCTGTCACATTCTGGGGTGCATTCCAGATCAGTGAGAGATTGTGTCACCACCTGCACCGCAAACCTGCATGCTACACAATGCTTTGCTGTGGTAGCTCCCAACTTGGGCCACTCACAAACAGCCTGCCAGCATGCGGGTCACCCCGAGTGTGTGTGTGTAGCTGCAGCCCTGGTCCAACAACTCTGACCCCAGCAGCCTGTCAGCAACACTCCAGCCCCCCTCTGGCTTCCACCAGTCTTAGTTACTACCTGCAGGGTAACACCAATGCACTCCCAGTCCTGAGTTTTCCCAAAAAAATGTGTGTTCTGCACCATCCACCTCTCTCCTGGGCAGTTTAGATATTAAAGCTCTATAAAGGGTCAACAGTTTGCTACTTTAACTGGAGTTACCAAACAGTTCAGTTTAAACACAACACTGAATTTGTTTAGATTAAAAAACAAAACAAGTTTCTTTAACTACAAAGAAATAGGTTTCAAGTGAGTACAGGTATAAGGCATTAAAGTCCGAAATGGTTACAAGAAAAATAAAAATAAAACGTTTCCTAGTAGCTAAAACTTAACAAGCTAGGTTCAAGATAAAATCCTTACCACACATTCCAATATAGCTGACCAAATTCCCATATTAGAATCTCCCCCCATAGTCAAAGGGCTGGTTCTTTTTCTTAGGTGAAAGAGAGATGAAATGCATTTTCCTGAGGGTTACCCTGGGATAAAGTTCATTCCAGCTGTGAGGAAGTTCCTAGAACCATAGAATATCAGGGTTGGAAGGGACCTCAGGAGGTCATCTAGTCCAACCCCCTGCTCAAAGCAGGATCAATCCCCAACTAAATCAACCCAGCCAGGGCTTCGTCAAGCCTGACCTTAAAAACCTCTAAGGAAGGAGATTCCACCACCTCCCTAGGTAACCCATTCCAGTGCTTCACCACCCTCCTAGTGAAAAAATGTTTCCTAATATCCAACCTAAACCTCCCTCACTGAAACTTGAGACCACTACTCCTTGTTCTGTCATCTGCTACCACTGAAAACAGTCTAGAACAGGGGTAGGCAACCTATGGCACGCGTGCCGAAGGCGGCACACAAGCTGATTTTCAGTGGCACTCACACTGCCAGGTCCTGGCCACCGGTCCGGGGGGCTCTACATTTTAATTTAATTTTAAATGAAGCTTCTTAAACAATTTAAAAACCCTTATTTACTTTACATACAACAATAGTTTAGTTATATATTATAGACTTAGAGAAAGAGACCTTCTAAAAACGTTAAAATGTATTACTGGAACGCGAAACCTTAAATTAGAGTGAATAGATGAAGACTTGGCATACCACTTCTGAAAGGTTGCCGACCCCTGGTCTAGATCCATCCTCTTTGGAGCCCCCTTTCAGGTAGTTGAAAGTAGCTATCAAATCCCCCCTCATTCTTCTCTTCTGCAGACTAAACAATCCCAGTTCCCTCAGCCTCTCCTCATAAGTCATGTGCTCCAGCCCCCTAATCATTTTTGTTGCCCTCCGCTGGACTCTTTCCAATTTTTCCACATCCTTCTTGTAGTGTGGGGCCAAAAACTGGACACAGTACTCCAGATGAGGCCTCACCAATGTCGAATAGAGGGGAATGATCACGTCCCTCGATCTGCTGGTAATGCCCCTACTTATACAGCCCAAAATGCCGTTAGCCTTCTTGGCAACAAGGGCACATTGTCGACTCATATCCAGCTTCTTGTCCACTGTAACCCCTAGGTCCTTTTCTGCAGAACTTCTTCCTAGGAATTCAGTACCTAGTCTGTAGCAGTGCATGGGATTCTTCCATCCTAAGTGCAGGACTCTGCACTTGTCCTTGTTGAACCTCATCAGATTTCTTTTGGCCCAATCCTCTAATTTGTCTAGATCCCTCTGTATCCTATCTACCACTCCTCCCAGTTTAGTGTCATCTGCAAACTTGCTGAGGGTGCAGTCCACGCCATCCTCCAGATCATTAATGAAGATATTGAACAAAACTGGCCCCAAGACCGACCCTTGGGGCACTCTGCTTGATACCGGCTGCCAACTAGACATGTTGAGCCCGATGATCTAGCCAGTTTTCTATCCATCTTATAGTCCATTCATCCATCACATACTTTTTTAACTTGCCGGCAAGAATACTGTGGGAGACCATATCAAAAGCTCTGCTAAAGTCAAGGAATAACACATCCACTGCTTTCCCCTCATCCACAGAGCCAGTTATCTCGTCATAGAAGGCAATTAGGTTAGTCAGGCATGACTTGCCCTTGGTGAATCCATGCTGACTGTTCCTGATCACTTTCCTCTCCTCTAAGTGCTTCAGAATTCATTCCTTGAGAACCTGCTCCATGATTTTTCCAGGGACTGAGGTGAGGCTGACTGGCCTGTAGTTCCCCGGATCTTCCTTCTTCCCTTTTTTAAAAATGGGCACTACATTAGCCTTTTTCCAGTCATCCCTGACCTCCCCCGATCGCCATGCGTTTTCAAAGATAATGGCCAATGGCTCTGCAATCACATCCGCCAACTCCTTTAGCACCCTCGGATGCAGCGCATCCGGCCCCATGGACTTGTGCTCGTCCAGCTTTTCTAAATAGTCCTGAACCACTTCTTTCTCCGCAGAGGGCTGGTCACCTCCTCCCCATGCTGTGCTGCCCAGTGCAGCAGTCTGGGAGCTGACCTTGTTCGTGAAGACAGAGGCAAAAAGAGCATTGAGTACATTCGCTTTTTCCACACCCTCTGTCACTACGTTGCCTCCCTCATTCAGTAAGGGGCCCACGCTTTCTTTGACTTTCTTCTTGTTGCTAACATACCTGAAGAAACCCTTCTTGTTACTCTTAACATCTCTTGCTAGCTGCAACTCCAAGTGCGATTTGGCCTTCCTGATTTCACTCCTGCATGCCTGAGCAATATTTTTATACTCCTCCCTGGTCATCTGTCCAATCTTCCACTTCTTATAAGCTTCTTTTTTCTATTTAAGATCAGCAGGGATTTCACTGTTAAGCCAAGCAGGTCACCTGCCATATTTACTATTCTTTCTACACATCAGGTTCCATGCTGTTGTTTGCTAAAATGCAGATCAATCTCTTCCTGCCCCCTTCTTTGCAAAAGAACGGCTACTTGACAGGTGATAGCCAATCAACTTTGATGACACCTGGCTAGAGGCATCAGCTTGTCCTGTGTCTTTGAGAAACAGGTTTACCCCCTCCTCAGACTTGTCTTGCAAACACATTTTAGTCATAATTTCAGCTTGTGTTCATAACTCAATACACTATTATACATACTTTACACAAGAATTTTAACAATCAGTGTGTTAGTTTTTAAATGGTATCTCACAAGGCATATTTTGTGCAAATATTACTACAATAAAGTGTAGGGTGTGAATTCAGGGAGTTTAGGGTCACAACCTCCACTTAGCATATTTGGTGCCATGGCAATCTATGGATTCGCACAGTCTGCAGAAAAAGAAGAATCTGCTAGTTCCACTATTCCAGATGTGGCTAGATCCTAAGAGCTACAGGAGCAGTGGATGGGAAAGCAATAATGACCAAAAGACCTTCAAGATGTGTGGAGAACTTTTACCCTTCTGGAACCAAGTTGTAATAGATAGGGAAGACAAAGACCTGCCTGCATATCTTGAAGGAGGGGAGAAATTCTGAAGATAGGCTTATATTATTAATTGTAGGACTGTTCCTTTTTACACTTTTTATCTTCAATAAAAGTAAGGTGTGAAACACTCTTTTTAAAAATCCAGCTTTTTACATGAGAAATGTAAGGTCTAGATGTCTCTGTTTTTGCTGGAGGACTGGAGAACCAGCAGAATGACATCACAAGACAGGAAATGGGGGTACAGATTTTTATGCTCTTTTTCGTTTGGGTATTTTTTTCTTAATGTCTGTTTAACTCAAACTCCTGCTAAACACTTGGGAGAAAAGTGCTCATTGCAAAAGATTCAGTGCCCCCTCTTCCCTGAGTTCTGAGAAAGCGCATGTCAGTCCTCTGTGGATTCCTCCTAAAAATCCAGGAAAATGAAGACCTGATTTAGCTATTTCCAAGATTAAAAAAAAAAAAACTAGCAGAAAAAAAATTGGGGGATGGGGAGGATTTTTTATGGGATGGAGCCTGAGCAGGAAGCTGAGTGCAAGAACAAACTGGAGTTCTTGCTTATTCAGTCATCATAAGGGTTTACATTTTCTTCCATTGTGCAATATAAAGCAACTACATAAAATCCGCAGGACACTGAATGTGGAGATACCACCAGGGCCTCCCACATCACTATGGAGTCAGATGCACCCACTGACACTGACTCAGAGGAATTTTCTGCCCAAGGAATGATGAATAAAAACACTAAACAAGTTACTTTCTGCACTGCTATCACCTCTCTGGAAAAGAAAGTTGAAGGATTCTTAGTAAAATCAGCACAGCTGGAAGCCTGGATGAAGAAAAGCACAGGACTTGGACAGCAAGATCAAATTAACTGGAAACTGTATCTCTGGATTATACTGATGTTGTATAGCAGAACCCCAGAGTTACGAACACCTCAGGAATGGACGCTGTTTGCAACTCTGAAATGTTCGTAATGCTGAACAAA